CAGAGTGGTGGCCTAATTCCATCTAAGATGCCCTTTGAATAAAAGTACAGAGAGCTTACAAATAAAGGTTCAGTTTTGTAGAAACTGCATCTCTAACCCTCTCTGGCTCCACGACTCCAATTTTAAAATGATGCTGGATGTTTAGAGTGAGAAAGAAAGGGAATTGGCATCATAAAGGTTCTCATGGATAGAACAGAATTAACCGTGTGAAAGGAAACCAGTTCCATTCCCTCCCCTTTTTTCTCACAATGTTCAAATTCTTAGGACCTTTTCTGGAGATTAATGATAAGTCACCACCCTTATTTTTATAATCATTTGCTACCATTATGGTCAATTTTTATTTTTTGAGAATTTTGTACATGAGTACTCTATACCATTTCCACTCCTGCCTCTCTGCACTGCAACTCCTCCCACATTCCCCTCCCACTCCCTCTCAATTTCTTGATCTCTTCTATAATTATTATTGATACATATAATACATATGTGTATACATATAAGCAACCTGAATCCACTTAGTGGTGCTTGTATGTATATGTGTTTAAGGATGACCACTATGGGATTGAATAACCTATCAGAGAGCTTGTTCCTGGAGAAATCTCATTCTCCCTCCCTCAGTAGTCATTAATTGTAGCTTTTCTTTTTTTTTTAATTGTAGCTTTTCATCTAGAGGTATGACCTTGTGAAATTTCTTCCATCCACACTGCTGTGTCAACTGGTGCTGTCATTATGAAGGTCTTGTTTAGGCAATCATATTTTTGAGATTTCGTGGGTGTAGCCCACCTGTCATGTCTGGAATGCACTATCTAGTAGTAGCCATCTTCTGGCTCTTACAGTCTTTCTGCCCCCTGTTCCAGGATATTCCTTGAGCCCTTGTTCAATCCAGGTTAGGCAGTGCCTATGATGGCATTCATCAAGTTCCCAAGGGCTCCTTTTTCAATGGGAGCTCCTTAAAAGGCAGATGACATAATCATTTTGGAAATTTGGAAATATTATCATAAACTTGTTGTATAATGTTTATAGAAAATGTCAACAAGTGTGCATGTCTGAGGTGGTGAGGGAAGGGAGCCTTGGGTTAGAGAGTGAAAACCTACTTTCAAAGAAGTAGTAGCTATCAATTCCATGGGCTTTGATACTGCTGTTTTTCATAACCATTATTTTATGCAATTGCATATATATGCATGGATTTATACTCAACCTTTAACTGTAAGAATAATTATTCCATATACTTCAGACACAGGACTTGGAGCAATGGAGCTAGAACTGATCTAGAAGACTTCTCCCTGAAGACTAGCTCTTAAAGTTCTAGAGGATACTGTGCAAACTGCTAAGGGAGACCCAATGGTCCAGCCAAGCTACAAAGCCTAATAACTACAACAGCTGGCACAGCAAACTATCTCTATTGGTACAGTAGTGGCACTGTTATCTGGGGGGTAATCAACAGCCATCTAATTGGACTTAAAGCCCTCTCAATGGGAGGGAACTCATGGGTGGCACTGTAAATACAGCCAAATACACATGGCTGAAGAGGTCATAAATCCCAGAGAAAACCCTATCTCTGTCATACCTCTAGATGAATGAAATTTCTTACTGTATGCTAAATATGGGTCATTATATTTATAGATAAGTATGCCATACAGCACTCATCAAAGAAGCTTCTTTTTGCAACAGATGGAGGCTATTACAGAGTTCCACACCTGGTCACACACAGAGAATATATGTCTGAGAGCTGCCCAGCCCTAAGTGACACATCTACTGTGGAACCTCTATATCTAAGGCTCATGGAACAAGCAAAACAAGGGGTAGAGAGAATACTAATACATCCCTCAACTCTCAACAGGTAAGCTTCCTCATACAACAGAGTGTGATCGATGCACATAGGCCATAACTGGCTAAGTTTTAGAGAATAAGAGACTGTAGAGTATGTGCCCCCGGATAGGACTCCTGCATTAAACATCACACACCCACAGGTCAGGGACTATTGCAGAAAGATTATAAGAGCCAGGGTTGGTACATGAACATAAGGAAACAGATGCTTTCAGGTCTCTGGGAACTTGCTCATGAAACTGCAACAATGGTGACAGCTTGCAGAAGACCCATGCCAACTCAGACAAAAATCCAGCATAGAATGGGAGAAATGGGCAGCAGGCCCCAACCCTAACCAAAAAACTATTGGCAAATGATTACTGTAGGGTGAGGGAGAGTAGATCTTCTTTAAGGGAATGTGACTCTAAGATATGTTGACTAGACTCCAGTGGATGAACTTGCATCAAGGGACGTCTGGCTACAACATATATGACAGAATACCTGAAATTTGGTGGGGGTGGCTATGGGGGATAGGGCGGGGTCTAAATTTGATTAAGATCTATTATATGTAATGCACAAAAACTCAATAAAAATTTGGAAAAAAAGAGTAATTATTCCGAGACATACTGAAAGCAATCCCTCCTCAAAGAAGTCTCGCTTGTCCCTTCTCTACCACAAGGCATGCTCCTATGTATCCACAGTTCCATATTCTTGTTCTTGTGATAGCTCCCTCAAATTGTTTGCAGCTTTGTTGGCAAAATCTGCTTTTGCCTCTCTTGGTTCTGAGGACAGAATCCAGAGCCTTGTTCGTACTAAGCACACATTTACCACTGAGTGAGACACCCCAGCAAAAGTCTGCTTTTAATGATTGTCTTTCACAGTTCTTGGACTTCACAAATATTTACTGAACTTGAGAGCCTTCATTCCAGAGTAGAGTCCTTGTTTGCTAGGTTAAACATTCTGATGGCCTTTGGGTGAGGTCGAGACAAGGTATATGATCAGCCTTTTTATTGATACTTATTTCTTGCAGCTGCTTTCAGGTGTGTATATTGGCTTAATCTGACCAAAATGCACCTTAGTAGGTCTCACCATCGATCCAGACTTGGTTCTTTAACAAAGGATAAAGACAAGAAAAACAATTGTCCCCGCCTATGTCCTAATTCCTAACACCTGCAGGTATGTTTGTTTACATAGTGATTTCGCAGATGTGATTAAATCAAGGCTTTAAAAAAATTGCTGTGTTCATGTATGTATGTGTGTTTGTGCACATATAGAGGCCAGAGATCAACATCAAGTGTCTTCCTCAATTGCTCTCTAAATTTTTTTTGAGACAGGATCTCTCTTTAGCCCCACTTGCTATGTATTATGTAGAATAGGCTGGCCTCGATCTCACAGAGATATGCCTGCTTCTGCCTCCTGAGTGCTGGGATGCTTGGCTGTCTGGCTATCTTTTCCTTTTTTTGGAGACAGGGTCTCTCATTACACCTGGAGCTCACCAATTTGACTAGAATGACTGGCTAGCAAGCCCCAGGGATCTTTCTGTCTCTGCCTCCCTAGTGCTGAGGTTAAAGGTGCATTCTGCTACACCTGGCTTGGCTTTTTATGTGGCTACTGGGGATCTGAACTCAGGCACGTTCTTGTGTGGCAAGCATTTTATCAACTAGGCCATCTCCCTAGTCCCCAAATCAAGGCTTTTGAAATGGGGAGATTATTAATGCTGAGGATTATTGCTGTAATCAAAAGTGTCTTTCTAAGAAGAAAATGGAGATAAGCAGGTCAGAGGAAGAGATGCAATTTGACAAAAGAAGCAAGCAGAGGGTTGAGTGCTCCAACAAGCCAAGGAATGTGGGCAGTCTCTCAAAACTGGAAAAGTCAAGGAAACAAATTCTATGACCAAGAATGACCAAGAGGAAGGTAGCTCTGCCCACACCATGGTTTGAGCTCACTGAGACTATGGCCTCCAGAAATGTAACAGAACAAAACTTTCATTTTAATCCACTTAACTTGTAATTTGACACAGCAGCAGTACAAAACTCAGAAGGGTTCTCATTTTCTCACCTTCCTCAATCCCACCCATCCTCAGCAGCCAATATTTTGTGTTTATTGTGTAGCCTTTCAACATACATTCTTTAAATTTTATTACATTTATTTGTGTGTGTGCATGCTAGGAACCGATTTCTTCAAGATATCCTTTAACCACATGCAGCTATGGCATGAACCCCTAAATAGATAGATGATTGATGGGAGAGAGAGAGAAAGAGACAGAGAGAGACAGAGAGAGAGGAGAGCGAGAGCACCAGTTCTCTCCTTTCACCCTGTGGGCTCCAGGGATTGAACTCAGGTTGTCTGGCTTGGTGGTAATCACCTTTACCTACTGAAATATTTCACTGGCCCTCAATATGTATTTTTTATTCCTTTCCCTTCCCTTCTCCCTTCCTTTCCCTTTTCTCCTTCATTTACTCTGTGGCCTGAAACTATGTAGTCTTAGCCAAGGCTGGTCTGAAATGGATGGCAGTCCTATTACTTCAGTCTCAGAGTTAAGTACTCATTCAGTTCAGGCCAGGCAATGTTCAGGTATGAGACACCATACCTGTCTATCATGAAAATTAAATCTATAGTAGCTGGTTGTGTGTTTTTAGCAATACAAGTACATAGTGTTGTCCCTCATTTTTGGAATGTTACTTTTAAAATCCAACTCAATATATTACCAGTTTTCAAATATATTGTTTGTCCCTTCCTCAATGTGTGATGCCACCAAAGACCCCTATTTGGATCCGCCAAGTCCATCCAGGGAAATAGGGCTGGTATTACTACCCTGGAGTCAGAGCTTAAGAAACAAGGGCTCAGAGACCAAAGGCTGGATGCCAGGTTTCCAGACTCCAAGGCCAAGGTTCTTTTCCTACGTGACCCTGCCCTCATGTCCAGCAGGGCTCAGCCCTTGGCACCTCAGGCAGCCCATACACTCGGCAGCGACGCGAGGAAGGAGGGCGGGTGGTGGGGGAGTTAGGGGTGGGGAGCAGCCAGCCTCTGGAGTGGGCCAGCTACACAGTGGAGGAAGTCGCATTGAGTCCTAGTCTGGACTCAAGGTGACAGTGACAGGTGGCAGAGTAGCAGGAGGCCAGGTGTGGTTTGGTGGGAGTCGGGAACGGCAGCGCCCCGCCCAGTCCGCCACCAGTGCCCTCGCGCGCTCGGGTTACCTGCGGCCGTGGGCGGGGCGGCCTTCCTGTCTGCGCCGGCCCTCGGCCTCCAGCGCCGCGGAGCCGGGAAGTGGGAGCTGGAGCGGAGGAGGAGGAGGAGGAGGCGGGGACTGCCGCGGCTCCAGCCCGCTCGGGCTCCGAGGCGAGGGGCTGCATGGCGCGGCCGGAGCGGCTATGCGGACTGTGGGCGCTGCTGCTGTGCGCCGCGGTGGAGCGGGGAGCCGCGGCAACAGGTGAGGACGCCCGGGACCTACGGCGGACACCCGGGAGACCCGGCTGGCGGGGTGGCGGCTGGCAGGGCGCTCTGCCCCGCGGTGTGGCCAAGGCGCGCTCTGAGAGCTCGGTCGCCGTCGTCTCCTGTGTCTGGTCTTCCCGGGTCTCGCTCAATGTGGGAGACACGGCCGCCAGGGCTTCCCCAGGCGCAGCGGAGGGGGACTAGGAAAGTGGGCGACTTGCCATCTCACTTCCCTCGTGCAGTTGGGAAGCGCCAAGGACCCTGGCACCCCCAGGGAGGGACCGAAATGTACCAGTGGCTTTGCCTGTGAGGCCATGAGGGACCCAGGGATGAGGACCCAAATCCGGGTGAGCGAGGAACTTCCGGGGGCTCCTTGCCTGGAGCCTCGCTGATCTTCACTTTCGAAGTCTGGCTTCTGGCGGTGGAAGTTAAAAGGGGCTAAAGATTACAGTCCAAGTAAAGGAAGAACGCCAGGGCAAGGCCTCGTCTTGTAGTCAAGAAATGCGTTGAGAACCCCTGACCAGCCTCTAGGCAAATGCTTCCCATCTTTAATAAACTTTGTGTTCTGGGATAATCTTACATTTATGGAAAAGTTGCAGATTCGATTCGGAAGTTCTGTTTACTGTTGAATGTTTGCACATTTAATTAATGAACCCTGAAGACTTGCTGTGAGAATTGAAGGTTAATGATTTCCTCTTGAACTGTATCTGGCAAGCGTGGCTTGCTGGGCATTTGGAGTGACAATGTATTGTAGGTTTTTATTATTACATCCACACAATACCAACGATTTGCTTATTGTTTCTTTGCCAGTGTGCTGTGCTTTAAAGCACAAGCTGAAAAGTTAACTAGGAAACTTACCATGCTATTCCTTGATGCTTTCAAGAAGATGTATGTCTATCCTGTTCTGTGACAGGTTGGTGTTTCTAGGGGATGAGTATGTCACAGTGAGCAAGACAGATCAAGTCCCTATCAGGTGGAGTTACTATACTATTGGCAGAGGGTATATGTCTCTGTGTGTGAAGTAAAATATGGTATGTCAAATACAACTGAAGTGCGACAGAGAGAAACAAGGCAAGGTAGGGACTTACAACTGTAAATGGGATGGAGTGGAAAGAGTTTGCCAAAAAGTTGGTATTTGAGTGAGACCTGAGGGACTTTTGAAGTTTGTCAGTCCATTTTCCCAAGGGTCCTAGAGATGGAACTCGGGGCTTCATGAGAGCTAGGTAAATGCTGGACTCCTGAATTGCACCTCCAGCCTTCAATAATTATTCAAATATTTCCCTTGTTTGTTTAGTACTGAGTCAGGCTGTGAAAGTTGACTTGGGACCTTAGAATATACAGAATAATCCTTGCCAGTGAAGTATCTCTAGTTCAGTTGAGGACACCAGATTTCCTTAAGTGTATGGGGAAACTGCAGTCCACAGAAGGGAAGGGACTTACCTTGATCACCCATCTCGTTACTCTACTGATTTTCACAGTACCCATTCCAGCTCCCTCCCTCCTACAGTCTCCTTCCCACCCACACAGCTGAAACGACAGCTAGCCCTCTAACCAATACTGTCAACCCCCAACTTAGTTTTGTCACTGTGGTTTGTTGGTAACTTCGAGTATACAAACCTTTCTCCTTATTAGAAACATCGATCGAATTTCATGTGAAGTATGCTGTAAAATAAAAGCACTTGGTATCTCTAGTTACTCAGAGGTTGGAGTTTTCATCGTTCTGACATTGACCAGCTGTGGGACTCAGGGTTAGTCACTACCCTTCCCTGCGCAACAGTTTTCTCATGGGTGAGATGAGGGATTGAGCTCTGTAAGTTTTAAGAGCTCCTCCAGTTTTGATCTTCATGAGTACTTAAGAGTGATTAGGCTGCTAGTTCAGTTTAGTCTGTTTAGCTCAGTAGCCCACATTGTGGCATGGCTTAATAATAGCTAGCATTGATATAATTCTTATTGTCTACCCAGCAGTTTTCTAAGTACTTCTTTTTCTATGTTTTCATTTGGAGAGAGGGTTTTTGCTCTGTAACCCAGGCTAACCTTGGACTCACAGCAATCCTCCTGCTTCAGCTTCCTCATTGTTGGGCTTATAATGCCTGGTTTTAAGTGCTTCACTTCTATTTCATTTAACCCTTACAGAGAGCCTAAGCTGTGGATGCTGGTATTGTGTCCCTTTTGTATCCGAGGAAGTTCACGCACACTAGGATTGAGACTCTTAAGTGGAGGAGCCAGGCTTCTGATCATAGCAGCCTAACTCTAGAGGCTGTGCCCTTAACAAGTACTTGGTGCCTCTCTCAGAAAAAAGTGAGGGGAGTCTGTGGCAGACAGGAGAGCTAGGTTCCTCTGAGAGTACCTGTCCAGGACTAGTTGGGATCTATGAAAGTATATGCAGACTATTCATTACATACAGACTGGCTCAAAATGGCTGGACCACGTAGTCCAAACAATAGGCATTTAGAGGGGAAGGAAACTGTAAAGTTGCCAGTTTCAGAGAACAGAAAAGACTTGATATAGATCTTCAAAAAGTGTAGAATTTAAATGAAGAAGTGATTTCCAGTGTGTGTGTGTTGGGGGGGGCGGTTAAGCAGGAGCAGAGATGAGGAAGTGGCCAGTCAGGAGCCTGGCTAGGCTAGAAGGGATTATTGGCAAAGTCAGTATATGCAGAAGAGCTTTATTTGCTCTTGGAGGCCCCGAACAGGGCATAACCTGAGAAGGGAGCAAGTGGACTTGTCTGGGTAGGGGAGCCACTGGAGTGTGAAGCTCCATAGGAATGAAGGTGGGGAGGATGCAGGTCTCTACTAAAAAGATGTATAATATATTCTTCCTGTGTAGGAACGTGACTTACTGGTGCCTGCCTATCTTGTTGGGTTCAAGAGAGCATATTAATGTGATTGCGGGTGATTAAGAAAGATGTAGCAAGAAAAAAATGGATCAGAGTTGATGACTGGATGTGAAGAAAGAAATTGATGACTCATGTATGACTCTTAGAATTTCCTTCACTTTTCCCGAAATGTGTATGTGTCTGCCAGCTCCCGAGACTGAACAAGAAACAGCAAAAACTATCAGCTAAATAAAGCACCTTATAGTGAAAAAGAAAACTTATTGTGTTAACTCCTAATTCACATAGAATGTGGCACTAGATAATTGATATACAGACTCAACTTGGGGTTTAGGTAGGGAAGACTTTGGTCTCTTCCTCTTCCCTACTTCCCTGTCTGAAGTCAGTGACCAATATCCAAGAAATGGTTGAAAGTAGATGCCAAAGGAAGGCAGAAGCAATAAATGGTTCGTCTCAAAGTCCATAGGTACCAAACTTTCACAGAAAACTAAAGCAACCACTTAGAACCGTTTCATTTCTTAAAGAAGAAAGCAGCTAGCTAACACTTCCATACTTCTTTTTAATATTTTTACATTTTATTGAATTTTTGTGTATTTCATACATAACATCTTAATCATCTTTATACCCCCTACTCTTGTCCCCACCGGCACCCTCCCATAGCCCCCCACCCCCCAATGGAGCCCATATACTCTGTCATCTGTGTTAAGGCCCACTGTCAAGTCAGCGTTCCAAGACAGTTCCCAGTGCAAGTCCATCCACTGAAGTCTAGTCAACCTATCTACAATCCCTTGTTTTAGGAAGATCAGCTCTCCTCACCAAGCAGTTGCCATATTATTTTAAGCAAAGTAAAACTTCTTGGGATCCAAAGCTATAAAAACCCCTTTTGTATAGTTCTAATATATGCCCTGCCTTTCCAAATTTTACAAAATACAAATGAATAAAGTTGTCTTAAAGAGAAAAAGAGAGAATATAGTTTCTCATATTTGTGAAATATCTGTCATGAGGACCTGTATACATTAAAAAATTTACAACAGCCCCCTCCCCATCTGCTCCCTTCCATGGCCCCCCACTGGATTTCATGCATTCTGCATTCTGTTATTTATGTTAAGGCATATTATGTCAAGTTAGTGTCCCCAGACGTCCCTCAGTGCAAGTTTATCCACTGGGGTCTAGTCAGCCTATCTGGAGTCCCTCCCCTAAAGATCAGCTGTTCCATCTATAGCAGTTGTTCTGTATAGAGCTGTTGTAACACTTTGTCTTTTGTTCTTTTGAGATGAGATCTTTTAACATAGCCCTAGTTAGCCTGGTACACCTTATGTAGCCCAGGAGGGCTCCAAACTTTGGGTAATCTTCCTGCCTAAGACTCTGGAGTGCTGGGATTATAGACATGAGACTTTACATTTCTTAACTCATTTAATCCTTATAATAACCCTTTGCAATATATTATGGTTATCATCCTTATGTTATAGGTGAGAGAGCTGAGGAACAGGGAGATTAACTTGCCACGTAGTAGTTGCTGAGCTAGGATATGAACTTGGCTTCACAGTTGATGCTTATAATCACTACACTATAATGAAATGAATTACATAAAGCCTCTAGGGACTATTGCAAGTGCAGTCACTACTTAGGTATATGCCTTAGTATATATGCATACACAATTCCCATATATTACTATGTACTTTAAAAATTGGTGATTGAATTTTATGCTTTAGAGAGTATATGTGCTTCTGCTTTTGCTGTGTTTGGGGTTGAACCCAGGACCTCACATCCCTAGGCATCCTGAGGTACAGCCTTAGCTCCTACATTTTTAAATTTTTTTTTTGCATTTAAAAATTTTTTACAATTTATTTTTTAGGTTAGCATAAAAAGTAATGCCATCCCCTAAGTTTTTTATTGTAGTAAATTATAAATAATCCCCAAATTGAGTATAGTTTTTCTTATAACTTTCAGATTTACAATGATGTGAAACTAATACATATAATAGAAACTATATTTTGAATTTTGGTCCTTTCGGTAAATTACATGAGCTATTCAATATTTATTATAAAATAGGCTTTGTGCTAACCTTTACCCAACTGTATGCTAATGTAGGTTTTCTGAACATGCTTAAGCTTTGAGGTTTGGGAGGTTAGGTTATTAAATGCATTTTTTCTGTTTTATAATAA